TGTTATGGTAGACATAGACGGATCAATAAATATCCACGATCATATACTCATTGTTGTTTCAAAACTAGTAACCAAACAAAATCCACACAATTTGTGATTTTCACCTTGTCCGGATCAATAAGTCATCCTAATATCATAGTTTCTCTATGACGTGGTTGTTGCTATAATAAACAAATCGGCGACATGCATTATATATTAGACATCTTCATTTTCGTTTCCTGAAACTGTATCTTAAATTCTATACCGTGTAGCAACGTTGTTATACATTATTCAGAATGACTGATGTATTTATGACTTTACAGGGGAGTACTTGGAACTGAAATCAAAAGAGGTCGAAGAATAGTACTCGACACAAGATTGACGTTGTTTTAGAATCAAGCTTTAATCCTGAAGTTATTGAATAGGTGTACAGGTATTCACAAAGGTAATATATATATATATAATATATACATCTTTATTATTCAACAGTGTTTTTAATGAATACCCGCACGTATAAGTTATGTATAAAGCATATCTACACATGAAAACACATTTCACCTTTTCACAAAGTTTTTTTTCCTGAACAGGAATATGCCTGTTTTGTCGACTGCAGTTTTAAGTCACGACTGATGGGTCGACAAGATTTAAATACCTTATTCATTGATAAAATCCTATCTTCTCCACAACTACATAGCATGCCTCACTTGCTTTTACCTTTCGTGTGAAGCATTCAACCAAGCGGTGAATCCAAGAGTTCTGTTCCACGACGACTATGAAATCGGTGATTGGTACTCTCTGTTTGGGTTTTACATTAAGACAAACGAGATTGTGGTAAGAACTAGTTAATCAACAGACAGTGTAATGGGACATCGTGTTGAAAAGATCGAGTGTATGCTGACAGTATTCAAGATGGCCCCCGTAATCTGATTACGTTTTCGTATGACATTAGTTTTATTTTCAGAGACACGGCACCGTATTAATGGAAACCAACTATACCCAGAAAAAAAAAATCACCGACCATCGATTAGATAAACCTACAACCTTCCTCCTGAGTTACATATTCAGCTGCTCTCGATCACAATCACATACAAAAAATGTACTAAAACCATTTTGGAATAAGCACACTTGTCTTGGGGTTGTATTACAACATGAAAGAACACTGTAGTAACACGTTCTGTGCTATTCTTAGTTACAATGTTACGTCTAATTGATCGATAGATCCATCTAGCGTTAACACTAAGTGATTTCGTGATATATCGATCGTATCATCATCAATATATTAAAGATTGTAAGCTGACTTCTGTCGAAATACATTCAAGCATTGGTCCCACCTTACTTTCTAAAACAATAGAGAGAGAAAAGAACTTGTGTATTGTGTCAAACATGATATCAAGGATGTATTTCATTTTTTCTCAAATGTAATTTATATAACAATCTTTGATATACATAAATTAAGCCATATTTCATAAAGGCCCAAGTTTGTTGAAATTGATAACATTCTTAAGTGTCCATAATGTAACTAAGTTGGGTAAATTAGGGAAATTCCTTTACCTAGCGACAAAACAACAAAATAAAGTTATATATATAACCATGTATGCTACAGTATGTACCATAATGTTTGTATTTATTTTCATGTTTCTCAATACAACATTGAATCTATTATCATCATCATAACGAAGTTTAGGGAACCAATGTATTTGTGAATGATATTGTATAGCTAGATTACACTGTACATCAATGTAATACATTGTACATCAATATAATACACTGTACATCAATGTAATACATTGTACATCAATATAATACACTGTACATCAATGTAATACTCTACATCAATATAATACACTGTACATCAATATAATACACTGTACATCAATAAATACACTGTACATCAATGTAATACTCTACATCAATATAATACACTGTACATCAATATAATACACTGTACATCAATAAATACACTGTACATCAATCTAATACACTACATCAATATTATATACTGTACATCAATATAATACACTGTACATCAATGTAATGTACGTCAATATAATACACTGTACATCAATAAATACACTGTACATCAATGCAATACACTGTACATCAATATAATACATTGTACATCAATATAATACACTGTACATCAATATAATACATTGTACATCAATATGATACACTGTACATCAATATAATACACTGTACATCAATATAATACACTGTACATCAATCTAATATACTACATCAATATAATATACTGTACATCAATATAATACACTGTACATCAATAAATACACTGTACATCAATCTAATATACTACATCAATATAATATACTGTACATCAATATAATACACTGTACATCAATCTAATACACTGTACATCAATCTAATATACTGTACATCAATATAATACACTATAATTCAATATAATACACTGTGCTGCTCTAATACATACCTCGACATACTATATCATTGATATACCATTACGTTAATCAGTTAAAATGCTTACATATTATCATGTAAGTCATTATATATTAATCAGTTATCACAGTGTAGGACACTATATCATATCACATTACAATTATACGGTCTTAATGTGTGATAATAACTTGCCATGTGGTATTTCATAATGTTTTTGACAGAAATAGTATACAATGTATTGTATGCTGTTGCATTTATCTGAAATATATTTGTGTACAATATTATGTCCAGTTTACTCTAGGAATCATTATCCATTACTATAAAATGACTGATAATCTAATTACAAGCAAGACTGCTTTTCATTATGTACAATATTTGTAGTAGTGCTATCATACTGTGTGTCAATGGATTTATGTAAATACATCTTCTCTGCGATGTGTTGTAAAACACTAGGAAATCATTATCATCCACCTAAGCATTGTTACCAGGTTTCGTCACGCATCACCGAGCACAGCGATCACGTCTACTGATTTTGATGCGCTGAAACCGTTATGCATGAAGGAATTTACCTTTAGTGCCATTGTCGCTTATTCATATCTCTCTCTCTCTCTCTCTCTCTCTCTCTCTCTCTCTCTCTCTCTCTCTCTCTCTCTCTCTCTCTCCCTCCCTCCCTCCCTCTCTCTCTCCCTCCCTCTCTCTCTCTCTCTCTAAAATAAAAACTGTTGAACATTGCTCATTCTTGTATTGAAGCATCTTCACTGTATGATAAATGAACAGGGTTCTAATTAATTACCCGACACAATCCAGCGTCCTTTCATTCATCGAACATGTTATTGATTATTACCTCAATATATTTCCTGTATATTCTTTTCTACCTCTATTTCCATACAGTCGTTAATAACCTCCGTATTTTAAGTACACACTATATATTATGACAGCAATTTTACACATGACAATATACCATCAGGTTGTATTTACACTATTTATTGAAATTAGTATATTCTCATCTGTGTATAGAATAACGTGAAATTGGGGGTCATAAATACAATCGTTTAATGTCAATAGGAGTTTCAACCGTAACCGGGAAAATAGAAAAACACAGTGGTATCAGTTGATAAGGTCATCATTTGATGTACCTCGATTACTAAATAGCTACTGTATACCGTCAATCAATAAATATTTGAAACAGATATTGTGATATAGTAGACATACATATATATGTATAACAGTAAATATATAGCCTTTCATTGATTACAACCACTCTAACGTCTCTCTGTCACCAAATAGTCAAATACAAAATGTTAACATCCCTCGCCTCGCTCACTAACCCCCCCTCCCAATTTATTTTAAGGATCAGTAGTAACCTAGCAGTCAGGTTTTTATCATTTATGTAAAAAAAACTATAAAAAACTAAAAAGGGAAAGATGCGTTCAAAATTGCCAAACATTCTCTATTCGGAAAAAAAAGGAAATTAAATCAATTAGCATGTAGGACGTATGGATACTACCTGCTGTGCATATTCCCTGATTTGTAAGAAGCGACTAAATTTGGGATCATACCTTCTTTTTAAGTATCCATTTCCCCTAATATATTCTTATGGTTGGTCTTTAATTGAATATTTGCCCCAGTGAGGAAGGCTTTGAATTTTGTCTCAGGCCGGGACGTACCAAAGTCTATAAAATGATAGTTATATGGTTTTCTAGACCTGCGTAAAGTTCAGTATAATGGTAACATAACGACTGGTTTGGTTTGTCCCTTATCAGTATAATGTGACCTGATGGAATGTTCAGTCTCGTCCCTTCGGCAGTATACTTCAGTGTGATAACGCTACCAAGTCGCTTTCAGTTCCGCACTATTATTCGGAACATACAACAGCCCATACGAAGACACGAACACAACAATTACTCTTGGCTTCCATACATAGAGAGACTGTCCTTCAATGACCATAGATGGTGATGAAAAGTTTAGCGATGTAAACCAAATCTAAACAACATATATGTGAATGGTTATGTGTCTGTGCTTTAACCGATATGTACTGATCGATTGCTTGTATTTGTTTGTTTGTGTGGGGTTTTTGTTTGTTTGATTTTTTTTTTATTTTAGTGTGAGAAAGATTCTTTCCGTTGCTATTTGTCTTTGTATTATAGTCAAGTTTCTATTACCACATTTTGCTACATTTCAAAGATCATTTTGTGTTGTTGTCATCTCACCAAAAACTAGCGTAGCACATGCGCGGTGAGAACGGATGCCACACTAATGGCCCTATAATGAATAATAAAATGATTGATTTATGCCAAGTGGTCAAGTGAAAACAATAAAACGTTGTAACAGTACATATAAGTTGGTACTGTGCCTCATAGTAGGTAGGGTCTGTGACGTACAATGTTTGATCCTATTATCCCTGATCCGATCACCAATCTACTGACCAGCCATTGTTTCCAGGCCCTAAGTAGTAGGACCCTAACCGTACTCATTCGATCTCCTGTGTTAATATACGGGCGAGCAAGGTCGTTAAAACATAGTTAGAGGACTATCGATGATGTTAGACCATTCTTAAGTGTTTTTTTATCACGTTTATTGCTCGGAGTTTGTACTATAGAACAAGCATGATATCGTCAACAGGTCATCCTCGGTCTCCCGCCAAAAATGGTAAGTCACTTATAGAAAACATTAGTCTATGTGTATTGTTCTCTGAATATCTGTTTAATGTATCACTCAGCTCGTAACATTTTTCAAGCTCCACTACACCGCAGATGTTGAAACTCAAAAGGAAAAATACTATATAGTAATGATTACTCTCCAACTATGAATGGACTGATGCCAATTTCCAAGGGTCAAAATTAGTCTGTATTGATTAACAGCGACAACACAAAAGTATGATCAATACGTACATATCATATAGGACCATATTTATCACAGAGTTATGTAACCACTCCACAAGATATAAAAAGATAGTACGTATACTGTATCATTTGAAGATTGAACTTTTCACGCACATGACGTGCACATATTTCGCCTGTTGGCTTTAAAGTCTCCCTGGCGTCCAAACTCTGTATGTGTTTGGACCTACCATAAAACAAGTGAAATAACCAATCAGTATAGGATGATTGGTAACCTATACTAGGTGTATGTGTAGTTTGTTATTGTTTATTTCATACAATGTAGCTATTATTGTATGTCTTGTAGTATGGAAATAAAATGTCATATTTCCTCATCACAAGCCCAATACAATTGGGAGATAGTTATACTTAAGTATATGACTTTAGTTGTGGATTGTTCTCATGCTTTTGTCATACACTGGTTTTCAAAAGGCTAGATACTACATATTTATCAGAGAGTAGTGAACTCTTGTGAGATTCAAAGTAAACGCACTGCTTTACTGTATATCACAGTATTGCTAGATATGTTCGACCATTCTGAATTATTAGTACATAGATGTCTTCAATATCCTCCACAGGTTTACCAAGAAGCCCTTCCAAGAAACAGGGTAGGTATCCATTCCTCAATCTAGAAATGGTCAAGTATTCTTTATTCATTAGAATCAGCGAAATAACTGGCACTTATGTAAAATTTCATGTTGGTGTGTACTCACGAGCAAAAAAATATATATATATCGTGGGGTAATTATAGCCGTTATAACTCTAGATTAATCAATATTGATTTCCAGAAACTGATACTAAATGGTGCTATGTGGATCTTGCATGTAAAACACAAAAACCACAGCGATTGCAGTTTGTTGTGTACTGTGATCAATATCTTACAGACGTGGAATAAAAACGTCACTGAAAATATCTAATTGTCTGATTATGATAAACAAAATTTTTGCATTAAATGAGAACTTGTTATTGTGTAAAGTTGTTATTTTCGAGAATGGGATAAATTCGAGAGAAACGATACTTTGAAAATAAACAAAAGAATGAAAAATAAATCTCCTTATTTAGTTTTAAGGTTTCGATAAACTCACGAAAAATTTGAACCCCCGAAAAAAGACACTTTTACAGTACTTTCATTTTGTTATAGATATGAATACTTCGAACTATTATTTATTGACAGTGACGCGCCGCGTACCATCAAAACGAGGCGGTAGGTTTAAAGCATTGTTTTTATCTCTACAAATTAATTCTTCATAAGAGGGATACTCGTGTTTATGTATTAACAATTTAGTAGAGGTGTCGGTTAAAACGTCTACCCTATTAACTTAAGATGTTCTTTCTTTATCGGAAATAAACATACTGTATCCGGTTATATCAGTGTTTTGTGTGACCTTTGAACCCTGTCAAGGTTACGGTGGATAAGGATATCAGATTTGATATTATACTGATTTACTGGACGCTACCTGAGATCCTGTTTGGGATAGTAAGTCTGTTTATCGACCGATGTGGGTAATGTATTTTTTCATTGTCGTCTGAATTTCCTTATGTCGTTTGGTTTAGTAGTGTTTAAGCCAGTTATGATTACAAAAAATCCACAATGATTGATCCTCAGCTACTCATAGTAGACTAAAATAGAATCGTTGATCCATATCAAAGTATACAGTGGTCCATGTCAAAGTAAGCAGCGGTCCGTGTCAAAGTATACAATGGTCCATGTCAAAGTAAGCAGCGGTCCGTGTCATAGTATACAGTGGTCCGTGTCAAAGTATGCAGTGGTCCGTGTCAAAGTATGAAATGGTCCGTGTCAAAGTATGCAATGGCCCGTGTCAAAGTATGCAGTGGTCCGTGTCAAAGTATGAAATGGTCCGTGTCAAAGTATGCAATGGCCCGTGTCAAAGTATGCAGTGGTCCGTGTCAAAGTATGTAATTGTTCATGTCAAAGTGTGTAATTGTTCAAGTCAAAGTACGCAATGGTCCATGTCCTTTCATCACTGACTTTCTGTAGGTTCCTACATCTAATTATATCACTTCTTCGGTCATCTGTTGGTGTAAGGACCAACGCTTCTATCCTGCTGGTCAAACTGTGGACCATTTGCAAAGATAATGGTCATTGGAAATTCTGAAACATCAATGGTGATTCGATTTATTGTGTTAAGTTGCTGATGACACTGGAATTTCTCCAAAGTTGTTGGTGATTTGACAGAGAAGTTTTCTCATTAATTTGTTAGGGTAATTGCAATATGAATGTTGTTTTTGCTTGATGTATGGACATGCGACTTACGAATCGATAGGACAATGGAAAGTTGTGTAACAAACAGGAGATTTAATGCAATACAATTTGTATGAGAACGTCCTGTAATGTTGACAAGGAATTTTCTATCAAGTTCAGCAAATTGACTTCCTATAATCTAAATGGTGATTGGTGAACTACTTCCAGAAATGTTGCTGGTGATTGGATAGAATCATCTCTTTGTATCATTCCTAGTGATTGGACTAACTCATCATCGTTAATGATGGTAATTAACAAACATTATAAACAAGTTTATGAAAATGAATGTTGACAAATCAGTGTTTTTGGCACGATCTGTCTTGTGGTTTTAACATTCAGGTGTTTACATTTTCAAAACTAACAGACAAGTTTTGACGGTTGCCAGGCCTCAGATCACATACAGTTTATGTGTAAAGACTTTCGTTAACTTACTTAATGGTAAACTATTGACACAAAAACGGGTTCCGAATCTGAATAAAAACGTTGATAAGTAACAAAAACAATTATCGCTCGATTCTTAAAGTCTGTTTTTAAATAGTATTTAACCTCTTTCTGGCGCTCTTAATGTTAAGTCTTTGTTAAAATAGTAGTCCTTTAAAACAGGAAAATAATTTTAGTGAAAGCCACTCGGCATTCTTTCAGTAATGGTAAATCCGAGATAAGCACTATATAATGGAAGGCCAACTTCCACGTGCCAGTAGATTTTCATTAATATTTGATATATAAGTATTTATAGAAGTTTTAAACTGTATTTAATAAAGAAAGATGAATATTCCACTTGACGCAGCTATTAATATATGTTGGATCAGCGATGCCTTACAAATAGTGTATACATATATAACTAATTAAATAACATGCATGATACTTAACTAATACTCACGATTATACACCTACCCAGTATGTGTTTTAAACGGAGGTCAATGTCACTATACCAAAGATGTAGTAAACATAACACAAATCATTGGGTCGAAATATTAACATATACACCACTGTATTATCGAAATTAGCAGCGGTTACTATTGAATATGTGGTTAAGAAAAACGTAAAGTAACACACATTACTCTATTATCGAAGTTAGCATAAGGTTACAAAGCGGTTACTTTCATATATATGGTTAAGATAAGTTAAAGTTACACAAATCAGTGTATTATCAAAGTTAGACTGCGGTTACTGCCGAATACATGGTTAAGATAAGTTTAAAGTTACACACATAACTGTATTATCGAAGTTAGCATAAGGTTACAAAGCGGTTACTTTCAAATATGTGGTTAAGATAAATTAAAGTTACACACATCACTGTATTATCAAAGTTACACTGCGGTTACTGCCGAATACGTGGTTAAGATAAGTTTAAAGTTACACACATAACTGTATTATCATTCTTAACACAAGGTTACAAAGCGGTTACTGTCAATTATGTGGTTAAGATAAGTTAAAGTAACACACATCACTGTATTATCAAAGTTACACTGCGGTTTCTGCCGAATACGTGGTTAAGATAAGTTTAAAGTTACACACATAACTGTATTATCAAAGTTACACTGCGGTTACTGCCGAATACGTGGTTAAGATAAGTTTAAAGTTACACACATAACTGTATTATCATTCTTAACACAAGGTTACAAAGCGGTTACTGTCAAGTATGTGGTTAAGATAAGTTAAAGTAACACACATCACTGTATTATCAAAGTTAGACTGCGGTTTCTGCCGAATACGTGGTTAAGATAAGTTTAAAGTTACACACATAACTGTATTATCAAAGTTACACTGCGGTTACTGCCGAATACGTGGTTAAGATAAGTTTAAAGTTACACACATAACTGTATTATCATTCTTAACACAAGGTTACAAAGCGGTTACTGTCAAGTATGTGGTTAAGATAAGTTAAAGTAACACACATCACTGTATTATCAAAGTTAGACTGCGGTTTCTGCCGAATACGTGGTTAAGATAAGTTTAAAGTTACACACATAACTGTATTATCAAAGTTACACTGCGGTTACTGCCGAATACGTGGTTAAGATAAGTTTAAAGTTACACACATAACTGTATTATCATTCTTAACACAAGGTTACAAAGCGGTTACTGTCAATTATGTGGTTAAGATAAGTTAAAGTAACACACATCACTGTATTATCAAAGTTAACATACAGGTTACACTGCGGTTACCGCCGAATACGTGGTTAGCATGAGGTTAAAATCAGCTACATAATTTATCATCGAATATGAAGTCAATATGTAGGTTACATCGCGGTTATTAAGGAACGTGATCAACAATATAATTAACGAACCTTTACTATCTATTATGTCAGAACCTGCATAAGGAAAACTGATTTTGTGAAACAAATTAACAATGCTCATAATAAGATTATAATAAAAAGGTGAACCCGAATCGACCGTACTAGGACAGCACAATGTCACTACCAGATATAGGCATGGAAGATCACCAATTCAATTTTATTTCTATTTCGTCACACTTTTTGAGTGTTCGATCTGTTTTCACTATAATCTTGTTGCCATTTCGTAACACTGTTTATCAGCTTAGGGTATACATAGGATTATAGTTTAGCCGAAAAGTCATGTCGACTACTTACGTACACAATATACCCAAGATTCGTCTGACGTAGGTGACAGTGAAGTCATCAAAACGTCACACGTAATTGTCTTATGTTTGTGATAATTATTTCTACTTTATATATATAATACAAAATCATGGTAAAAAACATCGTCAAGTCATAATTTAGATGTCCATTTAAAATGGAAACGTAATTATCTTGTTGTTAAATTTAAAAGAGATCGTGAACATAATCGCGTGAATGCATCCAATTACGGTTCTGATATACATGTCGACTCTTCTTTGTCAGCGTAGCGCGAGAGGAGATCTATATTTGGCAGTGCTTACCTATAGACCTCACCCTAGGTCTGCTCGCTAAAGGAGTTTCGCTATTGTCGGTCTCATTCAAATATTTACTTGATATCATTTAAATCTCAAATCAGGCTATTGTATCGTCGCTCGGTTGGTCGGTTAAAATCTGGGCGCTAAAAAAAGAAATCAGTAGTAATTTGGAACGTAGAAACGTCACCAGACATGAACAAACATAGAAGGATTTCGTGACACTGAGAGTTAACAGCGCTGTGGTAGAGGCTGTTTAGAGAGACGGTCTTATACTTAATATCAAGAATATATAGGATTCTTGGATTAATTGGAATATTTTACCTCAGAGGGTAAGTTATCGATAAAGTTAGTGCTGAAAAAACAATGATGTCAATCTGTTTGGTTCGACGTCTCACGGTCTGAGTTGGTCAAATACATAAAGTCTTAAGTAACACATAGTGTTAAAGAGGACAGTCACTTCAGTCGTTTTATCATGTCTAAAACGTTATAGATTTCAAAGAAATTTCATCCTTTCATAAACTTGAGCGTTGAAGCCATTCGTAATGATACAAAATTTAATTCAAAATGATAGGCTGTAGACACTATTTTCTAAACACATGGATTACGAAGCCAATTACAAAAAGAAACACTAAAACGAAGAAGAGCTTTTTTTATTTACGGTTTCTAATATACTGGTGTCATGACTCGAGCATTACAAAATCATTAAACATCGAGGTTTAAAAAATTGAAAATAAAAAAGCAATTTTCAAAATTAATAATAATAGTTTTGGCAGCTATGACGTAAAACAAAAAATATATTTGCATTTTACAGACGTGGAAATTAAAAAATATAAATGACACGAATAATAGTATGATAAGAACAACAGCTGATAATTTATGCTGCTTCTTTGTTTAGATAAAGAGCTAGTTTTATTGGAAGCTAATGTTGGGGGTTTGCTTTCCAAACAAAATGTCGCGCAGTATAAACGAATGACTGACAGCAGATTAAATCTCCGTAATTTACCACTGTCTACGTAATCTCTGATTTGTACTTACTGTGGTATCA